TTTGTCCGCTCTGCGCCTGCTGTCAATCCTAAATGTCGTTTTGGTCCCAGAGAGCAACTAAACCAGCTTAGCGCGTAAGAATACTTTCATAAACAAAGATTTGAATTTGTGATGAAAACGCAAGCTGAGTTTGCGTTTTTACCACTTCTTGTTTGTAGTTTTTATTTTGCTAATAAGAGATTTTCAGGATAATTGACGGCAACAACATTTACGGAACTTCAAAAGAGAATGAACAGAAGCTTCGTGCTTTTGCTGGTGGACGCATGAAGACGTCGACCATCAACGGGGAAGACTTTCTGCCGACTAATGCCAATGACACTGGCTGTCAGCTGCCGAAGAACTCGGAGAGAAAGTGCTTCATGGCGGGTGATGGCCGTGTAAATGAGGTGCTTGATCTGTCTGTCATTCACAATGTGTTTCTGAGAGAGCACAATCGTATTGCAGGCGATTTGCTGCGGCTCAATCCGCAGTGGAATGACGAACTGACGTACCAGGAAACGAAGAGAATAGTCATCGCTGAGATGCAACATATCATCTACAATGAGTTCCTTCCGCTACTCCTTGGCCCCAAAGCGTACAACCATTTTGAATTGGGTCTTGTCAACGATTTCACAGACACATACAATCCCAATGTTGATCCAACAATACTGAATGAGTTTGCAACTGCAGCCTATCGATTGCACTCGCTTGTTGCTGGAACTCTGAACATTCGCAACTCACGCAACCGTCTTGTTGGCAAAGTAGCCTTGCGTGACCAGTTTAATAATCCAGGTAAAGTTAACGCTTTTTAATAAGCTTCAAACATTTACAGTTTTATTTCTAGGCATTCTTTATGAGCGTGGTGGGTTTGAGATGCGAATCGATGGACTTACGGGTCAAACAATTCAAAAGTGTAAGCATTTTGAAGCAAATAAAAAAATAGTTACTGACTTTTGTANGGTTTGAGATGCGAATCGATGGACTTACGGGTCAAACAATTCAAAAGTGTAAGCATTTTGAAGCAAATAAAAAAATAGTTGTTGACTTTTGTATTTTTTTTCAGTCGATAACTTTTTTAGCCGTGAATTGACAAACCATCTTTTTCAAATTCCTGGCAAACGTTTTGGCCTTGATTTGGTTGCATTGAACATTCAACGTGGACGAGACCATGGCATTCCCGGCTACGTTAAATACCGTGATCTGTGCGGCCTCTCACCGGTGAAGTCATTTGCCGATCTGAAGCGAATCTTCTCCAATTACCAGGTGCCCGATGTGATGTCGCAGCTGTACCGATCAGTGGACGACATTGACCTGTTCATTGGTGGCACCTCGGAGAAGGCAATGCCTGGCGCCGTTGTCGGTCCGACCTTTGCCTGCATCATCGGTGAGCAGTTTAAGCGCATCAAGGAGGGAGACCGCTTCTGGTATGAGAACGGCGGACAAACGGGCTCATTCACGCCCCGACAATTGGCGGAGATTAAGAAAAGCAGCATGGCAAGAGTTTTCTGTGATAACAGCGCTATTGGAGAAATGCAACCAAATGCTTTTCTTGTGGCAGGGCAGTAGTAAGTTTGAGCAAGTGTTCAAAAAATTGGCAAAATAACACTACTTTTTAATTTTTTTTCAAATTTTTAGCAATCCAAAACTAAACTGCGAAGGCTACGATATTCCTCGTGTCAGTTTGAAACCATGGGCAAACTACCGATAGTCGATGTGGAGGATATTTTTAAACTTGTTTGCACTGCGACATTTGAACAAAAAACATTGATTTTTGCTTTGCTTCTCTTAATAAAACTAACATTTTTATTTTTTATTTTACTCAAAATATGCCTCAATTCATTTCTTTTGTCTTTCCACTTTTCTAAATGACAGTTTCAGAAAATGGAAAAGAAAAGATAATAAATAGATGGCAAACCACTTTCGCAAAAAGTAGTAACAAAAAGAAAAGAAACGTTAGACAATTTAGACAGAATTTTAAAACTTAAAAGCAAAGAGCAAGAGAGNCCTCAATTCATTTCTTTTGTCTTTCCACTTTTCTAAATGACAGTTTCAGAAAATGGAAAAGAAAAGATAATAAATAGATGGCAAACCACTTTCGCAAGAAGTAGTAACAAAAAGAAAAGAAACGTTAGACAATTTAGACAGAACTTTAAAACTTAAAAGCAAAGAGCAAGAGAGAGAGAGAGAGAGAGAGAGAACCCTTCACTGGCAGATGCCCTATTGTCTCGCCGTCAGCTTTCTTCTTCTTCAGCCGCCTTGCGCCATTCTACGGCTCATTAATTCTGCCGCCAGACTGACAGTGCCCAAACTGGCAGACTGAAAATGTATAAGAATTGAAAAGAGAGTAGACTGCAGCTGCAGAATCAGCTATATAGAATCTGCCGCAGTCATTGAATGAGTAAGTGAGTGAGTGAGTTAGTGGATGTCTGTGTCATAGGTTTATGTTTCTGGTCGACCAGACAGAACAGCGGCTGAACACAGACTGTTGTTTGCCTGCAGTCAGTCAGACTGCCTGTCTGACCAGTGCGGTCAGAAGAACAGGCGAATCTGGCCAAATCGGTGGGGTGAATCAGTGTCTCAGCGCACCATGGCACTGTCATCTCTACCAGACAGTGTCCTCTTGGCCATCTTTGACTACCTGCCAATCGTCGATCTGATGTCCATCGACGTGATCTGCCGACGATGGGCCGGTCTTGTGCCCACTGCCTTCCAGAGGCGTCGCTCTCTCACTCTGGTTTCTGACATTGATGATCTGGAACTGCTTCGCTGGTCGTCTGCCATGACCTGCAATCTTGTCGAACTGCTCCAAGATGAGGAAAATCCCAAATCACCACTGCTCAAAACAATTCCCAAGCTTGAGGCAATTTCTCTGCACGCACTTCAGATAGGCGGTGAACTCCATCCGGCCATTTCTTCGCTGCTTGTCAACCGATTTCCGAAAATAGTTCATCTGAAAATAGTGCAGAAGCAAGTTGCTATTGGTGTTCTTGAGCAGATGGCCTTTCTTCTGAGCATCTACAGTGCCAACTTAAAATCGCTGACCCTTCACTTCAGTCACTCCAATCAGATGATTGCTTTTGACGATCACAACGACCTATTAGACATTGTCAACTCTCTCTTCTTTGAACTGAACTCCCTTCCTCGCCTACGCCACCTTTCACTGCATCTTGATCTTCCTGATCTCGGTTTAACCTTTCACTTGCCTTTACTCGCTCAGCTAGCAACCTTCTCCGTTCACACAACTGGCCTCAGCTACGAGGCAGACAGCGACATCCTCACCGACAGCCTAACTACATACGGCACACCAAACGGCGAACTGTGCTCTGTTGACATCGGCAACCCGATGTCACTACGAGGCCTAATACTTCTCAGCCAGCGAATAACGCCCAAGTTCAAGCGAGTGACCATTGAGGATGCCCTACAAGAAGACGAAGGAGGCCTCTACCTCACTGGAATGGGTCGATTTTGCAGTCGATTCTCTGCCCTTCACACGCTGACGCTCAGCCTCGGCTCCCTCCCACTGACCGCCATCACTGTCCACCTGGCCAAAATTAGCACTCTTTTTCATCTAGAGCTCACTGTTGACTCAATACCGCCCGCCACTGACTCGAACACCGACAAGCAGATCACTGCAACTACTGCCTTACCGAGCGTCAAACTTCTAACACTGCACTTTAGCACTGATTCGCATTCTGACACTGATCGTCTTAGATTGCCTGAAATTTTTACCCACGTGCAGGTTGTTAGCTGGCAACATCTCAGCTGTCGATGTCATTACTGCCACTATGTGACGTCAATAGACAATCTGTCTAAAGAGGCTTCACAAATCGAGGAGTGCCAAAGGCTCGCAAGGAGTCCACTCAAGGACATGTCGACTTTGCACTCGGTGATGATTGTCGATAGAATGAACAGGCGACTGGTCAATGCTGATGAAATTTAAAAACATGGATTTAAGAACCCTTAATTTGTGTGATGTTTGTTTTGATCAAATGCAAAACTGGCAATTTTATTTAATTTGAAACTGTACATTAAAAATGATCCACTTTTAAAATTCATAAATAATTTCCAATGTTTCAGGGTGCAATTTTAAAAATCTTTCCGGCTAGTTTGAAGAAGTTTACCCACAATGGACTTAGCTGCACAATCTCTGCAGGTCTTCGAGCGTAAAAGCTCAGCAGTTGCTTTTCAGGTTTGTTAGCCTCAGTGGGTGATGATCGAAGCAAAAGATCACCCATATCATCAAGAGGAGCTACAATAACCGTTGAGAGTTTGTAAAAGCACAAAAGTTAAAGTGTACCAAAACTACATACCGGTAAAAACATGGCTAGAAAAAACCAAGACAAGAAAACTGACTACCAGGATAAAGTACAATTGGGAATGCATGGCGGTGATGATGATGATGATGGTATTTTTCCGTGTTTTGTTGTCTCCCTTGCAAAGTAGGACAAAGCACTGACACGATGGATACTTTTTGTGTCTACTAAAGGGGTTTTCTTTGCAGAACTGGGCAATTGGGAGAGAAAAAATGCTCGCATCGTTACCGGTTTAGCCTCACCGGCAGGTCAAACTTGATGGGCAACTCGTTCGTGTTATCGGCTGTCCACTGCACTTAGCACCGTTTGACCTATTTCAGTTTATGTGTTTGTTTACCATGTAAGAAAACGTGAGAAAATTTGTTTGCATTTTTAGACAAGTTGACCTCAAGGTCAACGCTTTTAATAAAACTCAACTTGTTAAATACTTAATGGACAAGATAGAAAATAGTCAATAAAGCGATTAGCAAAGCCATGCTAGGGCCGGTGTTAAAATTGCCACTCGACTTCCAGACGTTAGACTTGACGATCGAACTAAAATCTTCGGTATATTCGCACCAAAATATATCATCAGTGGGTATAGCCTTTGCAGCTGCGGTCACTTCAATTTGAAACTGCGGTGAGTTTAGCGCTACTGAGCTGATGTTAACGCCATTCGGTGCGGTTTCAGCAAAAAAGACTTGCGGTTGAAGGTTCTTCTCTGGTCGTTTGTACTGATAGCTGGCCAATGGGCCGACTGAACGCTTAAACATGATCTGGTAGAACTTGTCAGCAGGAAAAAAGCCATTGATGGTGCAGTTGAGAAGAAAAGGCTCGTTGTATTTAAAAGCGGTGACATTAGATGTTAAGGAAAGAGAGGGAAGACAGGTGGCGATTGACCAGAAACAGGTCAAAGTGAAGAAGACAGAAAACAGTCGAGAAAACATTTTTGTTTGTTTGTTTATTCGGCTTGAAAGGTGCGTTTTAGAAAAAAGCGAAAATAAAACAGTCAAAAGTGAACAGTTGGCAAAGCACCATCGTTTGCTATTTCATTTCACGGTCACATTAATCAGGAAAAAGCAATGGATCATTTAAAAGCATCTACGTTGTTTTAGCTAGGTATATAAACTAGCATTTCACAATCAACTACAACTGCTGATTTGTTTAACGGTCTATTAAAGCAAACTATTTTTCAATTTAAAAATAACTCAATTTCAGTAAACTCAATAGGAGAGCAGCCCACTGGAGGCCAACGGTGAACTGAGTCCCATTTGTATCGGGCCAGGTATTGTACGAGGAGTAGATGTCTTTGTTGACATGCAGTTCACACCAGTACTTGTCCAGACGATTAGGCTTTTTCACCGTTATTATCACCTCATAGGTAGGTAGATAGTTTTTGGTGGTGCTACTCACGACGGTGATGCCCTCATTGTTGGTTGGCTGATTAAAGAAGGTCTGGTTGTGCGCCGTTTGATCGTCTGTAGAGAAATGTAAGTCAAACTGTGGTTTAGCTTCTCATTAGCATAGTATTTACTTTTCAAGTCAAATAAAGCAATAGTGCCATTAGTGCGCATGAAGTAGACCTGAAACTGTCTTCGGTAAGGGATGAATGTTCGGCAAATCGAGCAAGTGGCACTGAATGGTTTTCCTGCTGGCACAAAGCTGACGTTCGTGTTGAACGTGACTGTAATGTGCGTCCCATTACAGGTAGTTGATAGGAATAAAGTCCCAAAGATAGACAAAAAAATGTAGAAATTCATTGTTTATTGAAAGTCAAATGTGCAAAACCTGTTACATTTTTAATGATTTCTATTTTATACTTAAAAAAGTAGAAACTTGCACTTTTCTCGTATGTGACGTCAATAGAAAAAACAAATAAATAAGTAAAACATCTGGCAAAAAGTAAATAACAAAAATCGATTTTTATTAATAGAGCAATAACAGTCAATTACTGTGATCAAGTTTAGCACTTATCCAAGCTTTTGCAACCTTTCTTTGACAAAAGTTCCTTGGTTTCGGCAACAAATACGCCTTTAACAAGATTTTTGTAAAGTTTGCATGTTGGTTCTACATCTACCTTCTTTTTGAGACATTCCATAACTTGCTCCATCATACAGCACTCGGTCTTAAGTTCGCCCCAAATGATGACCTTCTGTGGGTCGACGTGCTCAAGAGTAAAGTTTTGGCAAAACTCACGACTGTTATCCAATGCCTTGAAACACTCCGATGATTCGTCCGGAACAACGGAGGGCAATGCCAAAACGGTTGCCACCAGTCCAGCGAGTAACAGTTGCTTAAACATTTTTTACAAAAAAAGAAAACGAGTTCAAATGAATGTGTGTGACTTGTTGTGCCAATATGACTTGTTTTTATATTAAGTTTACAAACAGGTAGTTCAAGCTATTGCATGTGTTGT